AGACCGCGACTTGGGGTCTGGATTGGGACGCAGATCCCATACCAGTTGCCGCAATCCTGACCTCGTACCAAGTATGCACATTCTCCTCGAGTATTATGTCTTCCCTCTTCTTCACCATAGTCTCGAGGAGTTGCATGATAAATCCTATAATTTTGTTTAAAGAACTGTAAATGGATTTTTAAATATGCGAGCTTGTTCTAAAGGACATCCTCTCTTTGTTTTGATTCTCTTAAGAGTAAAACAGAGCCTTTCATTCATTCCAATCATCCGAGTCTGTTTACTTTGGAGCATAGTGCCTATGAGAAACCTAATCGGCCTTCAGTTTGCTGTATTTGTCGTATTTTTAAGATTCCATGTCTTACTATTAATGTATGCTATTAGGTTTTCTTAATAAGTTTTTCTTTCAGAGTTTGCATAAACCGCTTACCAGGCGTCCGATAACATTTTAATCCTTCAAGTTATTCGGGACCGTGTAAGTCGGAAGTGACGGCATTTCTTTGAATCGCTAGCTGTTGGAACAGTTGAAACACCAGTCAAAACAGATGTCGTGATTTTGCATACTGGTCAAACATTTTCAGCTAAATTAAACTGCTTTAAACACAAAATAATCCAACTGACAAGCGGTACGCAGTTTTACTGCATTCCAGCTTCAAGACGTGCCCATCATTGCCCATCCTGCTGGGCCAAATGGGTACTCTCTGTTGATAACATTTGGCACTCATTCAACAACATTTGTAAACTTATGAAATCCAAAACAAAAGCAGATTGTGATTAAACTGCATTCGGCATTATTCATTGCCCTTCACTGCCTGACTTCCACACCTTCCTGTCCGTCAATGAAAGCCTTAAAGACTGCCATATTTAATCACTTATACAATCATATTAGCTACTATTTCACCAAAGAAAGTGGCTTTTCTGTGATTTATGCAAGTCTCAAGAGAAGCTCCTAACGTCTTCCACTTTGTATTTGTGTATTACTCCAAGAACAATCTTACACTCTGTAAATTCCACTTGTTGTTAAGGCATATGGCACCCCCTACATCTTGTACACAACACCTGTAAGTTAGCTGTTTTGTTATCCCAAGATAAGGCTTTAGAATGTTTTCTTCGTTTTCCTCGATGAATCAAATGTTTTCGTTTTGCATGAAGTTGGGAAGCTCTGAAGGGAGAAAAGGGGTATGCAAAGGAGTTTAGTTGGAAGTTGCTTCTTTTCAAGAGCTATCCCACTTGACGAGTGAAAGTTTTAAGTCTTCATAAAGTAGGGAGTTGTTGGCGCCATCGGAGGAGGAACAAGCCGGCTACTTGCAAAAGAAGTGAATACTGCATTGAATAGGGTACTTTTTCCCATGACGGCCAGATTGGAAGCGCGATTTGCGTACTTTTTACATAAATGAGTCATATTAAGCGAGAAAAAAGACAAGTGGCTCGGGTATGTTGTCGACATTTATCTTGCACAGATCTCTAATTCGGTTATGGCAGCAAAGATCTTCCTGTTTCCAGCAAATAGTTATAGAACAATCAAGCTAAACGCCCACTGGTCTGCAAGCCTCAAGTTCAGAAAGGGTGATTATTGTCTTTGCGAGTCCCTCAACGGGACACAGTATGTGCAGTCAACATGCAAGATGCAGTAAGAGGTCTAAAAATTCCTAAAATCTACCATTTTATTGTTCAAATCTCAATACTGCATTATGCTTCCTCCAAACACATATTTGTCCGAGGTGTTTACTTCCTCAAAGTGTTTAACATGGGGGTCTGGTGTTGCTGGCACACAACGTCACGCTTTATTTACGTTTTGAATGACCATAGATAGGTGGCTACACAGGTGACGTGTAGTGGCACACCTCATCACTAGGTCAGCCAAGCATTTTTCTGCTTTGTAAGGCGAAACCTTCTGTCACTAGGGTGACTCTTGCAGGTCTAAAAAATTGCACATTCTACTCTGATCTGGGAGCCTGGTAAAATAGTGGCGTACACTTTGTTGCAATGCAGAGCAACTCCTCTCCCCACAGAAATGTCTTCACGTCGAAATACGCATATTGAAGGCACGATTACCAGGCGTTCGGAAAACACTGACATCAAAAATGACCAAAGCAGCTTTGGAATGTTTCTTTTACGAGAGCAAACAACTTTTAAATTGTCCGTTTAAACACATGTCAAACCGCAATATAAAATATCAAACGCCTAATCACTAGAGAGAAGGTATTTAAATTTAGTGATGAACCATTATGACGAGTCGCGCACTCGAAATGCCAGGCAGAAATCAAAGCTGGTGAATTTGTCCGCTTATCATGTCTTACAAATGCAAGTCGCATGGCGAGAAACTGTGCCTGCTGCTTTTTTCTTTGGGTATGCGAATAACAGGCTCTACGCCACCTACCTGACTTCACGTTTCTCGATGATGTTTCAATAGGTCGACCGCTGGCACTGTCTTTCGTGCACAGATGGCCAAAACAATGCTTCGGAATCCCCTCGAAAAATAGATTTCATGCATACAATCTTTTAAAGCCAAATTGCTGCACTCATGTGCCGCCAGAAAATATGCTGAAACTGAGTATTGAAATCAAGGTCAAGCTTAGCATTGGAATAATTGTTCCCAAGCAAAAATGTTGTCATTTGTTGTTTGTAAACGGGGATGTAAGCTACTAAATCAGAGTTGATCGCAGTAGTCGGCGCTCAAAGCGTCAATTTACCCTAATGGAAGAATCTATAGATCATTTTCCTGTCTGTTAACGCTCTTGGATTCAAAAGTACCTACTTGAACTCTATTGATATTACGAGAAACCCCCACATTTTTCAAAGGAGACACGCTTAGGGAGGCTTGTGTGACGAGGAAACACTCTTTTGTAAATGTAGTAGTCGAGCGGGATGGTGTGCGTCCGCGTGGTCTCGAAAATCCATAATTTAAAGCGTGCATAACTCTCATCTGGCATAGTTTGTAATTGGATTTAGGCTACTTGCTATGGCAAATGAGCAACCGGACGTCCCTGAGGGTCTGATTAAACTCCTGCAAGATTTTACTGTTTCTATCCTTCAAAACAAACCCAAAAACATCCCACGCTTTGCAGTCAGCTATTTCACGCGTCTGGCGAATAACAGTGAGAGTAGCATGAGATCCGAACTAGCTGATACAGATAACAGCGAAGTTATGGATGATGAGTATGCCGAAAAAATGAGAGAAATGGCAGCTCAGCGGTCTTCCACACGAAGGGATAGTGTGACTGCAGAGCCATTCAATCCGGACGAGGAAGAGGAAGAGAACGAAGGCGTTCCGGGTGGACGCAGAAGTAGTTACTATGAGAAGACGCCAGAACAAATCGCACGCCTAAAGAATGTTTGCAGAAAAATAGTTCTTTTTAGTGAGCTCGATGAAGCAGAACTTATCGACGTCATTAATGCCATGTTCTTGAAAACGGCAGAGCCTGAAGAGGATATAATTAAGCAGCATGACGATGGAGACAATTTTTACGTCATCGATTCTGGCAAATTCGAAGTGAAAATCGAAGACAGGATAAGCGGTGCGAAGGTAGTGAAGGTGTATGAAGATGAGGGTTTTTTCGGTGAATTAGCTCTTATGTATAACTCACCTCGAAGTGCGACCGTCACCGCGGTGACAGAAGGAATACTCTGGGCCTTAAGTCGACAGTCCTTCAGGCGACACGTCCTAGCCCATGCAGCGAAGCGTAGACGCGCTTTCATAGAATTACTACACTCCGTGCCGATACTTCAGGATCTAACTCCGCATCAGCGAATGTCATTAGCCGACAACTTACAGCGAAAATTGGTTCCAAAGAGCGAAACCATCATTCGTGAGGGCGATCCAGGTGATGCCCTCTTCTTCGTGATGGATGGTGTGGTTAGTGTCAAGAGACGGCAGGGAAGCAGTGAAAAGGAGCTTGGAAAGATTGAAAAGGGGGGATATTTTGGCGAGCTGGCCCTTTTGAGCAACAAACCGCGTGCCGCGAGCGTGTACGCAGTGACCGACGTTACACTTGCAGTGTTGGGAGTGGAAAGTTTTGAGCGGTTACTGGGTCCTTGCATTAGCCTCATGAAGAACCAAGCTTTGGACTATGAAGGTCAAGAGGATGCAATCTGAGGATACACTTTTTAGTTGGGCCTTTGTGATGTCTAATCATGTATTAATGCGTTATTTCATCTCCCACTAGTTGATTATTTTCATCGTTGAATGATAGTTTTTGTTTTTGGTTTGTAGGCCGTCGAACATGTGTACTTAAGAAGTGAACTTTCTGCTTTCACAGAAAGCATAAATCAGTGGCAGCAATTTTATCTAATTGAAAGGAAACAAGAGTAGAAGCTTTTACTAAGCCTCTTGTTGATGGCTCCAATTTCGGCTAAATCACTTTGTTTGCAGAAAACGCTGTATTTAATGTGGCAAATTCCAGTTTCTGAAAATGCTGATTCAGCTTTTCACTAAGTGTTCATAGTTGTAATGTTTTTTGACAAAACGCGGAGGCAAAATTCCAAGCAGGAAATTAAACCCATTCTAGCTTATTCAAAGCCTTATGCGAAACGAAGAATTGAGTACTTGACACCCTGAAGAGGCTCAATGTTGTAGGCAAAAAAGCTCATTTTAATTTTATCTCTCATGAATCCGAGCAATCTGTTATTTTACCGTAAATCATAGAGAGAGAAACAGTATAGGATGGCATTAAATTGGCGGCTTGTTGAGCCTTAACACGCGACTATTAGATGTTTTTATAATAAAAAGTTGCTGATTCGACGGTTTGTCGAGGACAATCAAGCGTCAATTAAGGTGGTTAATTTTACCGAGACATGATACCATTTAGCCGTTGCTAGGCCATGTAATGTTTTTATTTTACAACACTTCACACGCACACAGGGTGTTTGTCGGTAATCGTTGGCAATCACAACCTTAACATCCCAAGATTCCTCCTCCTCCTCCACCTTGTTTTGATACACTTTGTTTATAGCCTATGACAAGTAGGAACCACGTTTGTCACTGTTTCATCAATATTCTAACTCAGCAAAAAAGGTAAGACTTGGTGGCAAATGCAATTTGCCCGCCTCGCATCTGTGTCCCGCATTCCTCAACGTCGAGCCAATAGTATGGATAGGCGAGGGCACTTTTAGGTATAGCGGCATCCTCAACAGGTTCGAGCTAACAGTCCTTCATCCGTCGGTTGTTGATCTCTTTCTTGTCTGTATTCAAATTTCGTCACAAAAGCATAAAAGTTAGTCTTTTTGATGTGTGCAACAATTCCAATACTTTTTGTAGTACCACATATAGCTTTTAAGGACTTTCCTTGGACATATAAGCGGAGGGTAGGATCAAGCTTTTCAATTCTCTCTCAGTAGAACAATTCTTCATAGAGCAAAAATAGGCTCCACGGCTATATCATGGTAAGGAAATTCTTAGCATCCCACAGGTAGGTAACCAAAATGTGCACAACGTATGCATCTTTATGGATAGCTGAAAATTGCGAGCCTCCAAACGTTGACAATGTGCTCTGGTACAGACGCATGAATGAATACGCTCAATGAAAACGCAAATAGTTGGATGGATGGAGATCGCGTTAGAGCTGCTATGAACGTTCACTACTCCTGCGCGCAGATTTTAAGCCTGCAGTGTTGCGTCATGATATTACTTTCAACATGGAGCTGTAAGCATAGCGTTGACCTTCTCCCAGTTGGATGGCAAGCCATGCTCTATATGAAAATTTTGCGCTGCAATGGTATTTTGCGAGTCAAAGGAACAGGCAATGGGCAATGAAATATCACTATTTGTTTCATTGTCAAATCGTACGCATGTTAAGCAACAAATGATCACTTTGTCCACATGCAAGTACGGCAAAGCGGCAAAATGCCAAATCCACATTTCAAATGCATGTGCAGCGTTTAGTGGTAACTGGTTTAGCAAAGGACTAATTAGTCTTCTTTTAGCCGATAAAGTCGAGAGGCCTTTCCTTCTGTTGCGTTGATTCTATTTATGCCAAACGAATTGCTAGCTACAGAGGGTGCCCCGCAGCGCGATCTGTCCACGATGTGCATTTCTACGAAACGCCATGCTTACTATGAAATATAACGCATGTCCTTCTTTTGAAATAAGCGGTGGGGCTAAGTTAATTTCATTGTGGAGGTTCTACACAAGTTGCTGGTCCAAAATCATCAAGAGGGCTTTTATCAGGGAATGTAAGTTGCCTTCCTTAATGTGTTGAATAAGCATTGCAACTTTAAAGGCATCCACGTTGAGGCATCGAAACCCCGAGGCTGTGATTTGGTGGAGTGATCGCGAAGCCATGTTTAAACACGGCTACGCTGTATCACGTCTGATAATTCTCAGAGCCCTGGAGGGTTGCGTTTTCAAATATCTATTTTCCATTTTCAAGAAATTCGAATTAATTTCCTGAAGCACTAAAGGTAAACGTTAGAAACCACAAAGGAATACTTTTAAACACTTTTGTTTTGTTGCTATCTGCAAATTAAAAGGTAGCTACTAAAATACCAATAAATAATATCTCTGAATGAGTTTTAATCCCCATACCTATATCTCGTAACGAGTTGCTATCCTCCTTAATTTTTGTGTTTTTTAACCTCAAGATTGCACCAACAGGCGCTATTTGCATTACGACCACTGCCACTGACTAGTGACTTTAATGATGCGATCTTAAGCGAAGCGACATGAGACAGTTGCCCACTGTGGAAGCCAGTGCTCAAATCGCCCACTTTTAAAGTCGGCTTCTTTAAATTAAAATCAAGCATTCGGTGCATACCCCGGCGACTAAAATACGGCAATCGGTCAAATTCAAGCGCAGGCAGCAACAAAATTATTCATAATTACTATGAGGGTTTCAAAGGAGCCTGTGGTAACTTTCAAGCAATTGCTGCTGCCGTTTAGGCATGTTTAAGACCCGAATCGGTATTTAGGCACTCTAGAAAGGAGCCTTTTACTAAGTTGTTGTTCATTACAAGTTCAGTGCTTCGTTCCATTCACACTTTAAAATTCAGTCACCGGTTTGACCAGCACGCTGCCATGCATGTGCCACGCATCAATTATGCAAAGGCAAACGATGGGTTTTAACTTGATATACCTCAGAGACATATGGGAGTACTTTTTTAAAAAAAAATTGTACCGAATTCTAGAATTGTAAATTTTAAAAGTATCTGCTACCGCTTAAGGCTAGTCTTCGAAACTGTGGTGGTAGTCATGATTGAAATACAAAATTCCTCTCTCCCAACCGATTGTCAAGGGTTCTCATGAGCATGAAGGTTGCTAATTCTAAGTTTGGGGTCATAGAATAGGATCCGACGAATGAGATTTCCAATGGTTCCGCACCTCATAATTTTAGTTTTATGTGCTCATGGCGATAATGGACATGCCTCCGCATTGACTGGATGCACGGTCGCTGTTTCGTGCTCAAGTGCGTCTATGTGCCATACATCTACTACCCATCTTATAAAGCGTGAACCTTTCTGGTCTGCCGGCAGATTTCCCATTTGAAAGGTTATGGAAGCGTGTGACACGTGTTAAATGCGAGACGCGAATCACGGCTTTCCTGGATCTGAATGTAGGTTCTAAACTTATTACAACAAAGTGAATTATAAGGATCTCTAAGTAACCTTAAAGTGCTCACCGTGGGTGATTGTGATGCCTCAGGTGTTTCGACCTTACTCTAACAACACCGCTGGATCATAATTTGGCAAAACTGTAAAGGCAGCATCAAGAGAATAACCAACCACTTGTACACTTTAATTAAAGGCAAACTGTAATCTATCAAACAGCGTGATGGTGGAACCCATCTGGGTGTAATTAAGAGGTGAAGAGTTTGCCATGGCAAATTTTAGGTGCAAAGCATAAAGTAAAGGAATGAAATGGACAGATCCGTCGATTTCCTCTAAGAGGTATCGACAACCGGTTCCTGTCGCACTACACTTTTCTGGCACATCTTGAGAATGAAACATCACAACTTAACCGAAAGCATTACATTGTGTTCTTTAAATAGCGAAATCGCAACCTATCAAAGGCCATGGAAACAGATCAAGGCTTTATTATTTGCGGCATCGAATTGGGGGTTGCTATTTAAAGTTGCGGCACTCCGTTATATCTCACTTAAGCAGTTGCAAAAAATGCAAAACAAGTGTCAGTTTAAAGGTAAAGGGTTTAAATTGACACGTATTACTTGACTGAGGGCAAAAATTGCCCTTCCTGGATTTTACAGGCTAACATTTTCTATTAACTTATTTTTAATTTTACTTGGTTTCTACAACACCGTTACGCAACCATGATAAATTTGGTGACAAGGCATTCGAAGACCAAGTTTTAGGTGCTTGTGGTGGATAGTTTGGACTTGGAACTGAAATACTTGGTTTGGCCAGGGGCATATTTTTCTTGTTGCGTCTTTCCTATGTTGTCATGGCAATCCCCCAAATACTTTTATCACCACATCTATGCTAAACCCTTGTGCTCTAAGTAACTTCAGCACAAAGGCTCTCTTCTGGTCTTTTCTTTGGCCTGTAATTACGTTTCAAGGGTGATTTAGATACCGAATATTTTAAGTCGTCATCCTATGGTCAAGAAGGCAAAAGTCCTGTGCACATTATCCACTGCCACTGGAGGAGCACGTTGCCATAATGCAATTAACCCCAACGACACACAAATAGTTGGCATTTGATCACGCAGACCTCTGGCACTGGGTCAAATCTCCGTGCCATTTTATGCTTACTGCTTTTGGGCATGGTCTACACATGTTACTTATTTGCATTCGGCGAAAATAATTGCTTGATTGTTTGCCTCTTGCATTACCTGTCAATGGTATTGACGTCTTAGCATTGTGATTCATTGTTTAAATCACTTAAGCCACACAGTCATTTTTCGATCATTCCTTTCATAAAAAATACCGTGGCCTGTGATTATGGAAACAGGCAGCATAAAATAGGGTATTTAAAGGGCACCTTTGGAATGACAAAAGCAAACGACTCTGTGTTTCCCACATCGGGCATCGCACTTTAATGACAGGTTTGTGAGGAACTTTTAGGGCTACCTCTAGGTAAGGAAAAGTTTTGCGGAACACTGACTTTGATGGAGAATTTCGCTGCATGCTATCCCTCAGAAACAAT